CAGGCTACACCCGGATGGTCTATAGTACCTGTGGGTGGATTCTAGTTAATATAAAATAATATAGCTTAAACTTTATGCATGTAATTCGTATGTAAAAAACTATCTATATTAATAAATTAGAGTAAAGTCTCACTTTAGCCTGGAAAAAAAAAAAAAAAAAAAAGACACACACTCTTTCCTAAACGCATACAGTTACCATAAAAGAAAACCAAAGCGAAGTGGAAAAATGAGTGCAAACAGGAGTCTGAGAAGCTTCAACCAGGCCGCCAGGCTCAATTACAACATAGCAGACATGTCCAAAGGGAGAAACAACACTAGAAGCAGAGAGACAATACCCTATTCCATACAGAAACCCACCAGAAAACAAGAAAAACCAGCAATGGAAGTTTCGACCCGTCCCTCAACACTGTTGCCAAAGCCAAAGGCACAACAACAGCAACAGCAAGCAACCAAGACTCAGCAAAAGCCCATGTAGACAGAGACCGAAAACAGATGAAGCCAAATGGTGGAAGAAGAGTTGGGTGAGACCTCCTTCTCCACTCAAGATACCTCTGAAGGAAAAGCACAAAATGAAGAAAAGCAAACTGAAGCAACACAAGCATCTAAGAATAGTGTGTCAGAACAATATAACTTTGGTGCAGCAAGGATAGATAACAGTAACGAAGAGATGTTCATCTTCGACCAAGATACTCAAGAAAAACAAAGTACTTGGCAAACAGTTAAAATAAACGAAAGAATTACAAATCTTAAATACTATGATGAAGACAGCCTAGGTGCCATGGAAGGAACTGAATCTATCTCAGAGTCTAACACAGATGATAATTAAACTGAAAATAATCAAGAAGGAAAATACATGAGTAACAATGAAGTCCAAAATCTACAAGTACAACAAAGACAAATCCATGCAACAATTCAAACACTAACCAAACAGTGGATAACCTCATGAGTACCATCCACAATCTCATTCCCGGTGATACAAACAACACGACCAACTATCAATAATGGGGAACAACCCAAGCACAAGCACCGATGTGCAGAATATAGCTGACAATCTTTCCAATATATATAACTCAATAGACAATTATCCAGACAAAGATATTCTTGCAGATGAAAACACTCTGTCAGAAGAAAAAGAAACAAAAAATCACTATAAAACAAACAAAGTAACTAGTACACCTTTCATACCAGACACGCACACATACACACAACACACACAAACAAAGCAGACAGACTTGACCAAATCCCCAATACTTGGCATATTGTGACACACAATATCAGAGAAATCAATAATGAATCCAAAAGACTCCAATGGCATGCCTTTTGTGAAGAACAACAAATAGACATTGCAGTAATAACAGAGATACAGGTAACAAAACAGGACACAATGTTCTGGAGGTTCCCCAATTACAGAACCTGGTGTCTAGTAATAATAAAGGTGCAGGAATTGCAGTCATGATTCATCAGAACATTGCAAAACACATGAACAAAACTATCGAATACACAGGAAGAGGCATTAGCATCGACCTACACTTCAAACAAAAGACTGTAGTCACTATCATTGCATTATACATACCAGTAGCCCTAGGTAAAAAAAGAGTCCAGACAATGCACTGGATAGAGAAGAGAGCCCAGATTGCAAGTAAAAACAATCACAAAGTCATCGTTCTTGGGAACTTCAACTCCATTCCAAACCCTAGACTAGACAAAACAACACTGGCAAAAAACCAAGACAAATCCAACAACCCGATATCACACATCCTCAAATTTCTCAAATACAATGGATATATCGACACATTCCGAGAGGTACACCCACACCAGAAGGAGTATATATGGCAGAACAGCAGAAACACAAAAACCAGAATCGATCAGATTTGGATGCTACCAGATAAAGACTGGAATCCACGACATGTATACATAACAGAGTCAGAAGCAATAACCCACAGTGACCATGAAATAGCAGGCTGCAAAATTGAGACTGGTAATATGATTCAGAAAATCCATCCAAATAGTAGAGAGAAACCAGTATGGAGATATTTCGCAAAGCATACAACCACAAAACAATGAGAACAATTCTCAAAACAAATTCAAGTTTCTGCAAACAAGCTGTGGAATCTCACATGGGAGGCAATAAACCAGGCCATGAGAAATAACGTAAAAAGAATAAAGACTAAACAAAATAAATAAAAAATAAGAATAAACAACGATAGGAAAACAGCACACACAATCATAGCACTCAACAGAGCCATAAACATTGCAAAGAAATACCTGGCGGGAAAAATAGATACTGAATACACAGTATCACAGGTGAATGAGTGGCAAGAAACGAACATACAAACAGCAGAGCTTCTGTCATTCAAGCTCACAAACAAGTCCCAGGGCATCAACCTAGTCCATTGGTTTCAAGAAATACGCAACCTAAAAACAGGTATTGCAAAAGTACTCAAAATTCACCTCCAACACAAAAAACAAGCCCAAATTCGAAAATACATAGAGATAAGACAAAACAACCATCAATTTGCAAAGAAAAAGATGATAGATTTGTTTCTCAACAGGAAGTCAACACACATTGAGATGGACAAATTGCTCCTCAAAGACCCAGAGAAGAATGCCATTACAGACCCAACCATGATCAAAAAAATAGCAGTAGATCATTACAAACAAATCACAGCTCCTACACTACAAAAACAGAAAACAGAAGAGCCGAAATGGCAGACTAAATACACATCAAAAACAGAAATAGATCCAGCATGGTATTCAGAGCTCTATGAACAATACACAATACAAGAAGTCGAAAAAACAATTAAGAAAATGAACAATGGATCCACACCTGGCAAATCCCAGTTTAGTTATGACATTATCAAAAAAATAGGGAAAACAGCATACACAAGAATCATAAACATATTCAACAAAGTACTTGAGACACAAGAAATTCTACGCTTTTGGCAAAACAATCTGATATATCCTATACCAAAGAAGAAAGACTGATACTATGATCTCAACTTAACCTGACCCATTACATTGCTTGAAACAATTAAGAAGATCTTCACAAAAACATTGAACAACAGATTGACCAAAATCCTCACAAAACACAAGATACTATCCACACTCAACTGGGCAGGACTCCCTGGAGGAGGAACACACGAACCAATAATAATTATCAATAATGTCTTGGAAGATGTCAGAGAGAATCAAAAAGATTGCTAAATTCTAACACAAGATATTAGCAAAGCATATGACTCTATGGATAGAAATCGACTAGAGGATGCCTTATTAAGAATCAAAGTTCCACAAAATATCATAACAATTTTATTAAAACTTAAATCCAATAGAATTAATCAAATAATTACATGCCATGGGCTCTCTGAGGGCTACAGCCCAAGCACAGGAATAGATCAAGGTGATACAATTTTCCCCTCCTCTGGCACATATACTATGACCCCCTCATCTGTAAAGTTGAACAAGAAAATCTAGGGTACACAATCATCACTAACTATCCAACAACAAATCCAAGGGTATTCAGAAAAACCAAACTTAACATATCCTCTATTACATATATGGACGATAGCACATGGGTTATGAATAGTAAGAAAACTTGGAGAAAATAGAAAAGATCATAACATTATTCGCAAATCTAAATAACTTGAAGATAAATTTACAAAAATCATTTCTGTTGACAACAAACAAGAACCATGCATGCAATAAGATCAGATGAGACAACTATACAATACAAGTGGAACACCACAAGTCGCCAGTCAGAATCCTGGGAACATGAATAACATCATCAGAAGCAAAGAAACACCAAAAAGAGCTAATCAAAGACAAGGTACAACACATGGTGAATACCCTTAAAAGAACACATATCACAGATAAACAGCTCACATACATCCTAAACCATGTGTTGGCACCAGCAGTGGACTATTTGCTTCAAGACATGATACTGTCACAAGAAAAATGCAACAAACACAATAGCAAAATAATCAATCTTAT